GACGAGACCTTGCCGTCAGGCTGTCACCGCCCACCTTCGTCTGTCTAGAAACGGGACAGCGGAATTGAAATCCGAACTGAACATCTGATCGCGGGTTTTTGTCATCACCGAGCCTGTTTTAAATTACGCGGGAACAAAGTACAGTAGCCGTTTAATGTTAAATATAAGTCTAAATATGTTAATTAAAAATTATTTCTAGAATAATTATTAAAAATTACAAAAAGCTATATAAGTCCAAATAAAGATGAATTACATAAAAATCCTAACTATTATTAATTGTTGTTTACACTGTTTAAATAACAAAAGTATAGAAAAAAAAGTTTAATTCCATGTCGTTCTAAATTATAGCTTACAGGTAGGCCTATTTTCAGCTGTGAACATTTTAAAACTAGTAACATACCTCGTGTGTTAAAATTTTCAAAATAAATTTTTCTTAAAATGTAACAATTTAACACATATATTGATACACACTCACACACACAAATAATATTTACATTTATTTACAACATATTTTCTTCATCTTGGAAACTGTAACAACAAAATGAACATAAAAATTTGGCTGTTTTAAATGAGAAATATCTTATTGTGAATTTTCTATAGGCCTACTTAGTACTTGTTTATTTTGTTTGTTTGTCAGTGTCACAAGTTACTCAGCACGGGTCTACGTTTATGTTTGTAGGTACCAGCATTGAGTATAAACCTAACCCTCAATGGTACCAGTATCTCTGTGAAAATATCTGGGATGTCAATGTGTGTGTTCAAGTTCAAAAACTTTTATTTCAGTAAAAGATTTCACTAGCATACCACTGGGCCGAGTGAATACAAGTACAGCAAGTATTTACTTGCGAGTAAATACTTGCAAGTATTCATCGTTCAAGTAATCTCTTATGAATAAAAGCGACTTTTTACTTGCAAGTAAATACTTCCTAAATGAGATGGTATACTCACTGATCTATCGGATATGAGGGTATACTTGCAAGTATGTACTCCATTTTAAAGTAAACATTATAAAGTACAAGTATATATACAGTATAAGTATATATATATTATAGGCTATATATGATAAATATATATATATATTATTGAAGGTCTAAGGCCTTAAGTCTATTTAAACATGTAAAATGTGAAGGTTTTGCATTATTGAGACTTGTGGATGTATTTTCATTAACAAATAGCTTGAACGAAGGAATATCACATAGGTTCCATCTTCAACCCAAGCATTATTTTGCGGAAATCACTAGTCATACATAATTTAAATAAGTGTATTACACTATATACTGAATGTGTTACATGCATTTATCAACAAGTAAATTTAAACAAGCATGGGTTACTGATAACTAGTTGAAAAAAAAGTATTTACTCTTTAGGCAAGTATTTGGTGGTGGTTATTCACACCAAATTTATAGGTTTCTGAGGGTATATACTTCCTTGGAAAGGCTTTTTGGAAGTACAAGTAAATACTCAAATTATGATAATTCAAGGCAAGTAAAAAATGTGAAGTACAAGAACATTAACTTAGAAAATAAGAATGTGTCAGCTGTTACTATTTCATTTAATTTATAATTGATGGTTGATTATTACCTAATGATTACAAATTATTAAATATATTTTTTGCAAAGTTTTATTGAGCGGAGCGAGCGAAGCGAGCGTAGCTCTTTGGGATCAACTTCAATGCAACAAATAAAGCAACATCACGCAATAACGGCAGAACACATTTCAGCTAAACTTAACAAGATTACTTAGACTAATAGTGAGATGGTTAATAAACAAACAAATTTCAATTAGATAATGCTAATGCAATTTAAAACGAACTTAAAATTTCCAAATTTTAACATTAGGCTTATGGGACTAAAGTAGCCATATGACAGTTTTTTGTTTACAAGAAAAATGTAAACAAGAGAATCATAAGGTATTTCTGAACTTTCTAGACTTTCCTTTTAAACATTTTTAAACCATGAACCTATTTGTGTTGCCAGCTGATTAGAAACAGCCAATGTTAGCGATCAGGATTTAATAAGCGATATATTGAACCGAATCGAAATCGATATTTAATCCGATAATACATCACAGGTTATATTATGTTGAATTACATCGACGGTGCAGTAAGTTATTACACTTATTTATAAAACGCAGATTGAACACTGATCTAATTTAGGCATGTGGGGAAGGTAGGTCGGGGTTTATGAGTATTCGTGACTACATTAAGTGTTTTGAAGTAAGGTTAGATTAGGAAGGTAAAGTGTAGGTTATAGGTAATTGAGCGAGTTGTTTATTTGTGTTGCACCACAAATAAACTGATAATATTTTCCTGGTCAAAACTACCATAATGTACTTTTGGAAGAGGTATCTGAATAACAAGATGTAGTAAAAACAAATCTGAATTATTATAATCTTAAACAATAAAACCAGCATTAGTACATCTATTGACTTTTTTACATTTAGTTACTTATGCAAATATCAAATCACGTTTGTTCCGCTCAACTGGCTTTCACCTCTCTGAAAGCAACCCTAGTTTACAATCTGTTTGAAATTAAACGATAAGTAAATATGATGACATTTATATAAATTAAATAAAAATTGGGGGAAAAATTATTAAAATGTATTATCTATACCTATACTAATGAGATGGTGTGTGTTTGTCTGCTACTCAATAATCTTAAAAACTACTGAACCGACTGGGCTCAAATTGCACACACATGAAGCTACAGTTCCGAGGATACATATAGAACTATTCCCGCTTCGATATAGTCCTAGGGCTCTGCCCAGTGGGCTTTCAAAAATTTGAGGTGAGAGATTTACAAGTAAATATTGATTGATTGTATCCATGGTAACAAAGAACAAATCTACAAAGTGGGGCACACGGGAGGGACTAAGGCTAACATATCTTGTAGTGTCAGCGTTCGCCGCTAGAACCGCCAAGTTGGAAAAATTATATTTTTTTTATTTTTAGTTATAAAATTAACTTTTTAATTATAAAATATTGTTTTAAAATTAAATTAAAATTTATTTAATTAAATTAATTAAAATAAATTTTTAATTTTTAAAATAAAACTGTCATAACATAACCTAACCAACCAGACTTGCTGATAATATAAAAACTGTATAAGATAAAAATCTAATTAATGATGCCTTATAATTTTTAATTAATTATAAAATTAATTTTAAAATTTAGTAATATAAAATTTAACTGTCATAACCTAACCTAACCAACCAAACTTGCTGATATGAAAAATTTGTTGACAAAAAGTTAGTGCTACCAGCGGAATTCGAACCCGGGACCTCTTGAACATCAAATCGAAACACTACTACCTATGCCACGGACGCCACTGAATACACATTGTTTAGTTACGGTAATCGGGTTATATTATCTGTGACATTAGCCACTAGAGATATGACGTCACTACACCTTCAGCCTTAGTCCCTCCCGTGTGCCCATTCCGAACTAACTGTAAAATTAGTTTTGATTTCACAATTCCACACAGCTGGTTCAAACATATTAATACTGCACACATATTAGAAAAGAGAGGGTAAGGATTATAAATTTAAAATAATGATGTCACTAGCCCGAATGTAAACATTATTTAACATTACTTAAATGGAGCTGTCAAACCATATGTTAATGTAATTTCATAAGTTACTCCATTTGTTTATGTTTATGATCTATTATACTGAGTCTGTTCTAATATTTGTGAAATGCTGTAATTATATTTTACAGGGAATAGTTCGTTGTAAAAGAAATCATTCATGGATATAGGAAATAATTAAGATTCTATAATCATTACCAAGCCATTATCCTGAGTTTTATGAGGTTATTTTTTTTTATTTTTTTTGTGTAAACAGCAATATAATCCCCCTGCCGAAGCAAATTTATAGACTTAGTGAATTTCCATTTACCTGATTATAATTTCACTAAAATATGTTAAAAAAATTACCCTATTCTTCATATTTATTTCTATTTTCCTATTTGTTTCTATTTTTCGGTTTGTAACTGTTGTGATAGTTTTTTTGTTTACAGTGCCAACCATTTAACACGTTCTTTTATTGTACCTTAAAATCTATCATTGGTTTTGTATCGTAGGTAGCCTAAATAAGTAGACCCTACTCACAGTATGAGTACTTATTTTTTACTTATACTTATACTTTTCCCCCTCAATGAATTCGTGTATTTCACGAAGGTGTCGAGACAAAACCCACCGATTAACAAAACTCTTATCACAAAACTGGCATACATTCTCATTGTTGACAAGACAAGCCAATAAACGATTGTACCGCGACCACGCGACAGACAGCATTGAATTTGACGTTTAAGTTCGGCACTGCTCGGTAAGATTCGGAAGCGTTCGGCACAGCGCAGTAGTGGGAATGGGCACACGGAAGGGACTAAGGCTAAAGGTGTAGTGACGTCATATCTCTAGTGGCTAATGTCTTCTCTTGAGGCGACACGATTACCGTAACGAAACAATGTGATTTCAGCGGCGTTCGTGGCATAGTTGGTAGCGTTTCGGATCGGTGTTCAGGAAGTCCCGGGTTCGAATCCCGCTAGCAGCACTAACTTTTTGTCAACAAATTTTTCATGTCAGCAAGTTTGGTTGGTTAGGTTAGGTTATGACAGTTTAATTTTATAATACTAAATTTTAAAATTAATTTAATAATTAATTAAAAATTATAATAAATCAATTATTAGATTTTTATCTTATACAGTTTTTATATTATCAGCAAGTCTGGTTGGTTAGGTTATGTTATGATAGTTTTATTTTTAAAATAAAAAAATTATTTTATAATTTTAAAACAATATTTTATAATTAAAAAGTTAATTTTATAACTAAAAGTAAAAAAATTTAATTTTTTCAACTTAGCGGTTCTAGCGGCGAACGCTGACACTACAAGATATGTTAGCCTTAGTCCCTCCCGTGTGTCCCACCGCGCAGTAGTGGGGGAAGCGTCGTTCCGATTTCAAATTCCGCTGTCCCGTTTCTAGACAGACGAAAAAAGGGCGGTGACGGTCTGACGGCAAGGTCTCCTCTCTCACAGTTTACATCTCTTCTTACCCTTTTTATCAGCTGACTACCTGACAGCTCTTACTTAAACATAACCATATTGTCCATATTGAATATTGTGGTGATTTGCGAAGCACTATCAAACTAAATACTTCTTCATACACATGTAAGTCCTGAAAATTTAGAATAGGATAGAATCTACATAATATAACAATTCAGTTTAACATGACTAGTGTACCTGTTGCTCGAATTCGAGCAATTGCGAAGCATTACAGGCGACTCAAAGATTATGGAAATACTCACAATCTACACAACAGTTAGATATAATAAAAATCAAAATCTTTTGTATCTTATCTTTTTTCAAAAAGCTGATCTTGTTTTTTGGTGTTTTCGGGTACAGTTTCTTAACTGGGCTATGCTAATAATCGATTGAAACTATCGAATCGTTTAGTAAACCTTCATGCGATTTTTTCACCATCAGCAAGTTTGGTTGGTTACGTTAGGTTATGATAGTTTAATTTTATAATATAAATATTTGAAAATATCAGTTATTAATCAATATTTTCAATTCGATAGTTTCAATTGATATTAGCATAGCCCAGTTAAGAAACTGTACCCGTGTTTTCTACAAATCTTTCCCTCTCATAGCCGCATTAGGTTGTCTATGATAACGATTATAAATGAAAAAAAAACATTATTTCTATTTCTTCTATTTGGTTGTGTTCTATGACTTTTTCTATGTTGTAAAGAAAAAAAGAAATTTTTGTAAAGAAAAAAGAAATTCTTCACTTATATTCAAAATATACTCTTTACTTAATTGATCATTCCATCAAGCAAAATCACCTCACACCTTTATGTAATACAATTTAGGTACCTATTTCATACAGGTGTGAGTATAACAAAAAGTTGCCCCCTGGTGGGGTTTTAATGAATTTAATTTAATTTTAATTGAACTACTGAGGACATTACAATCACAGAGCTGTGCAGTGGAGTTAAAGATGTTAAGTGTGAGCCCTGTAATTAAACATCCCAGAAGTCCGATTTATGGACCGTGAGAGGTCTGATATGTTGTCCTCCTTCACACCTTCTTCAGCTTAATTCTAACACTTCTTAAAACTAATGGATGTGTTTATTTGAACACTCTATGAATTGAAATGTCAGTTCAGATGAAAGATTTTGATGTGAATTGTTTTCTTTGTAAAACTGTAATACTGCAAATAATAACATATTAAAATATTGATTGAAAATATTTATGAAACTGTTTGTTCAGAAACTATTTATCAAAGTATGACTTCAAGATGTTTGTATACACTGGATTTCGGTTAAGCCGATTATTCATGAATTCACCAACTTGATATTAAAAAATGTGATCATCAACACTCATTGTGTATACTTTGTATACTTCTTCAGTTAAACCAATACTCTTGAATTTACCAGTATAATATTAATAATATAATATAAAACACAGGATAATGATAAGATGATGATTTGTAAAAATACTGTATAATGAATCAGAATTACGAGCTGTGATACAAATATTGAATATAAACAATGTAATAAACTTTATGCACAATTCATTTATATTTGAAAGAGAGAGTGAGATAATTGATTGTAGTTGTTTGGTGGTTTGCCACATTTTAACACTGCAGAGTCTCGGGAAAACCTAGCCTTGACGATTTTATTTATTTAGTTTAGGCCACCAGACTCCCCAAGGATGTTCGTATATATCAAACTGGCCAGTTTACAATTTAATCAAACAGGGACTATTATGTAGTTTGTGATCTACATCACTCCTTGCTGATCAATGCAACGGGGCCAATCGACTACTGAGTCGATTAATTGATAATTTTTATTAAGTATTTAATGTTTATGAATTTAATGGGAGTCTATCCTCATGACCTTTTGTCAACCCTAGCCTTCGACCGAGCACTCTGTTACCCCCATTTACGTTACACAATCAAACTCTCACTATTTAAAAATGTAACACTCTATTCAAAATTATTACCTTATATGAGATACAAAACGTTATAAATAATAATACTGATGATGATAGAATTTGACCTTTGCATAGAACACAAAATAATAATATCACAGACAATCATTGTTCTTAAAAATAATAGACCATTTCAATTTAATTTAATAAATAATTTTCAATTGACTATAATTACTAATGTAACTTAAATTCTTTGCATAACGTGATAAAATTCAATTAAACACTTTTCATCCTGCATTGCGACCATGTGCTCAAGGTATACCAAATGAAACATGAAATTTTCAGACCAGCTATGACATGATTTCTGACTTGTAAAGCTAGTGGAACATGTGAAAAAATGGCAGATTGGCAAGACTATTTTAATACTAAAACACAAATAACACAAACATTTACTTACGTACACATGTCGACACATACACATTCATTCCGACGAAGATTCACGCGTACCGAACATTTAAAAATTGACTCGTGGTAATTTGTGACTTTTTGTCTGACCGAGCGGAACATCACGACACGGTTTTTTCTGGTGTAGGACTTATTAATTCTTGTTTTTTTCGAGCTGGCGTTTAATGATTCAATTGAAAATACCTTCACGACGACCCGCTATTTGCTAGAAACTGACATTTGCTATCGATATGATGCATGTACGAATTTTCATCACGAACGCGAACAATCAATCCGGCATCTCAACTGTCTCGACTTAATACTAATAAAACACACCCCCAAATGCAATTCGGCGAAATTTTGACAATTGCGATCGTTTGATGCACGTACAATTTCGGCCCGAACGCCAATTTCCGAGCTACGAATTAAGATATTAATAAATTCGTCCTACACCAGCGACAAAACGCGACTTCACATGTTGACTACGCGATTACTGAGCCACGAGTGACGACAAGACGTTTGCACGCGACACGGTTCGAGTGTAGTATTCCTCCGCGTTACGTCATGTTGGACTGACTTGTCCATTGCCTGGCGCGGATTTTAAATCTTTGAATTTAAAATCGGCACAATGTTTCCATTGTTTGCAAATCGGTTATTTAAATGATAGCTCAAGAAATGTAGAACAGTGTTAATTCAGTTTTATTTTTAGCCTATATCAAATTGTCCAGGATTTCTCGCCCTTTTCCATTCTAATTACACCAACCCAAGTTTCGTCTACAGATGCAATATGCCAACGAATATCACCTACCTACAATCTCCAAGAAGTGGTAAAAAAGGCAGAAACCAACCCATACAATAGATATAAGTTAACTCCAAAAGAAATAATTTAACCCTCCAAGTTCATTCAATTCATTCAATTCAATTCATTTTATTAACGGCAAACACCATTTTACAAGTGGGTTTAACAAGATAATTAATATTTAAGAAGATGATCAATCAATATTCATAATCAATAACAAAGAACACAATTAATTGAAAGAAATAATCATTAAGAACTATACAAAAACAACAACAAAGAGTAACAACAATTGATAAAGATTTTATAAATTAATAACAAGGATAAAATATTTGAAAATGAAAATGATACAGTGATAAATACTCTAGACAAAAAGAAAAACTTAAATTGACGAGATAATATTGCTTGGCAGTTGGCACCTACTCCCACTGGTTGTGTGGCCCTTTAGAGGCACCACCAAAAGCACAACGACTAAAGCTGGATCTGGTCAGCAGTGTCTCTAGTTTTGGTCTTAATGTTTGCCCATTTATTGCGCAATCGCAGGGTTTTATTAAAATGTATCTTAGAAACTTAAAAACAATGTAAAGTATACTGTTTTATATATATCATTTTGTTTGGAAAATTATAGGCTTCAATGTAACATATAAAACATTATAAAAAAAACTAGTGTAGGTACATGTTGCTCGAATTCGAGCAATTGTAAAGTATTACAGGATTTGCAAACCAATTACAATCATACTTAGCTATCGACATTTCAACAAAAACACACCTACCTCCCTGTAGCAGCAAACCTAAGTACTCATATTAAAATTAACTTAATGTTATTTAAATAGGGAAAAAATTACCATTTTCAGGGAATATCTTTGTATTAATTAAGCCAGGTAAATGGAAATTCGCTTAGTCTGAAGGTTTCCTGCGGATACATAATTTTAATAACAGCAAAGATTGAAGAATCTGAATTATTACTTATATCCATGAATTTATCTAACAATTATTTCCTGTAAAATATTATTACAGCAGTTCAAAAATATTGAAACAAACTCGATCAACAAATGATGTAACTGAAAGAATTCCATACTAATGACATTAACATAGTTCGACAGATCAATTTAATCAATGTTAAATGTTTACATTCGGGCATAGACAAAAATGATTCGGGCGAGTGACATATTTTATTAATGTTTATGATCCCTACTGTTCCTGTTCTAATAATCATGCAGTATTTAATATGTTTGAACCAGCTGTGTGGAATTGTGAAATAACAATTAGTTTGACAGTTAGTTCTGCTTGTTTACATTTTAAAATTTTGTGGGTTTGTTCTTTGTTACCAAGGATACCATCAATAAATATTTCACTCTTTATTTCTGACAACAGCTGGAGTTCCATAACAAATTTTGTTTCCCATGTTAATCTTATGGATAAATACGAAACTTTAAAGGGCCCCAGGGCCTCACTCTCTAATTATTTCCTTAAAAAGAAAGTTTCCTGCACAACTTCACATTACGCTCTTTCCAATGACACCAAAAACATGTCAATTGGTTTAGTAGTTTCGGAGGAGTAATTGTTACAAAAAATCTGCTTGTGTATTAAATAAGTATAGATGTTAAAAAATTTTTGTGGGGTTAACATTTCTCAAAAATTATAAAATAAATGAAAAAAATGTATGTTTGCGCTCAATAAATTGTTATAATTTATAGGTCTACAAATATTTTAAAATAGCCACTTTGTTCAGAATTTTATGAGGATTCCAAAAATATGATAATAACTTATAAGGAAGTAGGTTTGCAAATAAATAAGTTATGGGCAAAAAACAGATTTCGGTACATAGCGTTTAGCTAAGAATGCATAGCCTAACCATAGCTAGGAATCTGGCTGATAATTTACATCAATATCACTACCTACTTCTTCAGGATCATCAACCAGCCCTTCAAAATCACTTAAATCTTCTTATAATGCACCACGTATATCTCTACTTTTGATTTTTAACACTAAAACAACGATAAACGTAATAAAACACATCAGTCATCGGTGCGAGGTTAACCCAATCCGTTTACAAATACGCACGTCAGCTGTCTGCTACAATATTTTCGGAACTAAAATGAAAAGCGTATAGAAACAGACGCTTGATATGGAATCCACATCAAATCAACCACATATCAAGAGTAGAAAAAATTCAGAACCGCTTTCTTCGCTCCATTGGCGTCAAGTTGGGCCATGAATTCTATACAGTGCCGATCGAAGATATTCGCATCGACATGTGCCTTCCTCGACTGAGCGACCGTAGACAATCTGCAGACCTGTCTTTCCTCTGGAAGTTGTTGAACGGCGAAGTTGATGCACCAGAAATACTTCGCCTAATTAATTTCCACGTTCCTCGACACTTCAGGCATATTCAACTCTTCAACAAAGCTTCTTTTTCTACAAACTACGCCTTCCATAGTACAATTCCACGGCTCCACAGACTTGGAAATCAAGCATGCCAACAAGTTGATATGTTCACCTGCAAACTAAAAGCTATTAAAAATATCCTAGTTTAAGCTGTTATTGTTATGTGGTCTGTATTTTGCTGCCTTGTTTGTTATACTTTCACAAATATTTATTGCAATGTTAAAATTTTTTTCACTGAGTTTACGTCACCGTTATTATATTATTGTTATGGGTTTTTTTTTCTGTCTTGTCTGTCAAATATATTCATATTTTTGCTCGTTACTGTTATATTAAAATATTTATCAATTGTTATCTAGATTTGGTTACTGGTATCGTTATTTTTCTAAAAATGTTATGCATGTTTACTTAGCAGGATGAATCTGTATCTGGCTTATATATACTTATAAATATTTATCTTAACTTGAATCTCATGATTATTGTCTGTAAAAATGGTGTTTACCGTATAAACAAATAAACAAATAAACAAAGCAGGCCACTGGGGCAGAGCTCCAAGGGAATTCACCATGTTTCTCTTTTGATGGCTCATCTACAGACCAAGACCTTTCTTTAGACACCTCTACCGAGTTTCTACGCCCAGCCGTTCTCTCAAAATAGCTGTGACAAAGAAAAACAGTTTCAAATTAATATATAGATGATATCCCTATTAAAGTTATAAAACATACCAAAAATGCCTGAATAAGAGTAATTTTAAGTGAGTGCATTATTGATACACATTTTACCCCTATAAAAAAGTAATTTCTGGCCATATATGGCTATATCAAAATTCCATATATGTTTTTATAAAGCCATATATGGTTTAATATGGCCATATATGGAAGCAGATATGGCCAGATGTGGTTGTATCCATATATGGTGGTGTCCATATATGGTCATATATGTAGTCTATATATGGAATTATTGGCCATATATGGCCATACATGTTTTCTATATATGAAATGATTGTCCATATATGGCCATACATATTTTCTATATATGAAATTATTGCCCATATATGGCCATAAATATCCTCCATATATAGAATCATGGTCTATATATGGCCATATATGACTCCCAGGTATGGAATTAAATTACTCATATACGGAATAATAATTTTCCATTTATGCTCATGTATAAATGAGTTTTTGACAATAACTGGAATTATTATAAGGAATTGTTGCCACATTTGGATTTTGTAACTGGACTCCTAAACACTTCTTATAATATATATAATATTATACATCTTAAAGTTTGTGAGTTTGTGTATTTTCTTGTTGCTCTCGCAAGCACAAACTACTGAACTGATTGAGTTGAAATGTGGTACAGTAGGGGGGCAGATAAAATAGGCATTTCTCATTTAAAGTAATTAGTAGTAAAGTAATAAAGTATCCAGATTTTAACCCAGATGACAAAATCCTGTACATACATCTATTGTACAATTTTACTATAACGCAACAAACTTTAAAACTGACGTATAATTTTAAAATTGCAAGTGTAGTAGGCCTAAATAAAGAGAATATTATATTTGCCTATCAAACAGCCGCAAATATCAATGTCCCGTAGTTAGGCTATATTAATAATAACATTCTTCAAATGACATAAAATGTCTAAGAAAATCTTATTTTACGAGACCAAATACAGCTTCTGTTATTCGTAATGGGTGTTGTTAAGATATATGATATGAAGCGGTTGTGGTGTAGTGGTTAAAGGGGCAAACTCCCACGCTGGAGTCCCGGGTTCAAATCCCAGTCGGCTTATTTAAAATTTTGTTTTGACATTTTCGAATTAAAAATTTTTAATTATGGTTTTAATGCATAGTTTATACTATTTCATGTTAAAATATGTTAAATTGTAATTTTTTTATTTATTTATATTTTTTTATTTAAAAATTTCCATATATGGGGGATTCCATATATGATCATATCTGGTTATATTTGGTCCAAAACCAAATATAACCAGATAAAAAAAATTGTATATGGCCATATATAAACTTTTTCATAAGGGTAAGTCATTTAATAAATTCGTATCAGAATTTTTTCTGAATTAGTTATAAAGAATCTAAATTAATACCAAAATTTAGTGATTTACCAAGTTTTATTGTGTGATTAAAAACACACATTTTTTTCTAAATCTTGTATTTTTCATCATTTATTACCTATAAAAGGTTTCAATAAGTTATAGAAGCTTAGGCTAATTGGAAAAAATAGTTGTGGGCACATAACGGATTTTGACTGATAATAGGTATATACAATAAATAAAAATAATATCACATAGGCTATCTTTTTAATAGGGCTTTGTGGGCCGGACAAAATCTGTTTGCTGGTTTCACTTCTGTAACAATTTTGTATGTTTACAGCTACAGAAGGAGGTCAGTGACCTCACCCATGATGATCAGATCTGTTCATGCCAGGGACATTAGATTCCCAACATCTCTAGAGGCACACGGCTCTGATGCTATGGTAAGATTTCTATACAGGGTGTTTTTTTAAAAACTTGCATCTTTATTTATGTAAAAACCGCAATAGATAGAAATATGCAGTTTGCGGGAATCATCTATTGACGTAGGGGGACCAATTGTTTTGAATTCAACGTTACATTCACATTCCCCCCCTTTACCCCCCTGCCCCCAACTTAATTTTTTTAAATAGCAAGGTACCCCTTGTGACATATCAAATAAAAGAGCATGAAAAAAGAAAATGTTTGATGAAAAAAAATTGAAAATCGGTTCATAAATTTGTGAGATATTCCCCCCCTCACCCCCCCGGAACTTAATTTTTTTTAATAGCAAAGTACCCCTTGTGACATATCAAAAGAAAGAGCATGAAAAAAGAAAATGTTTGGTGAAATTTATTTTTCATTTGATATGTCACAAGGGCGGGTACCTTGCTATTAAAAAACAAGTTATGGGTAGGGGAAAAGGGGGGTGATTATCTCACAAATTCATGAGCCGATTTTAATTTTTTTTTCACAAAAAATTTTTTTTTTCATGCTCTTTCATTTGATATGTCACAAGGAGTACTTTGCTATTAAAAAAAATTAAGTTCCGGGGGGTGAGGGGGGGAATATCTCACAAATTTATGAACCGATTTTCAATTTTTTTTCATCAAACATTTTCTTTTTTCATGCTCTTTTATTTGATATGTCACAAGGGGTACCTTGCTATTTAAAAAAATTAAGTTGGGGGCAGGGGGGAAAGGGGGGGAATGTGAATGTAACGTTGAATTCAAAACAATTGGTCCCCCTACGTCAGTAGATGATTCCCGCAAACTGCATATTTCTATCTATTGCGGTTTTTACATAAATAAAGATGCAAGTTTTTAAAAAAACACCCTGTATATTATAACAGAATTTATCCTTGGGCTTGGTCAGTAAACTTTGAAAATAAAGTGTATTCAAAGTAATTTGTTCATGGAGTTAGGAGTAATAATTACTTCACAATTATTGTGAATAAGTACTACATATAAAGTATTTTAATTCTCAATAGTTTTAGTAAATGAGATCACAGTGAAAATGACTTATAATTTATCGATCCCTGCTAGTGTTTTGTATTGTTCTCCATTCTATTCAAAAATTTGTTAATTTTTAACTTGGTAATATCTTAAACTCTGGTTCAGGTACATTATGTAAATACCTTGAACTTCTCATTTTTAAGACCTGGACCCGGGACCGAGTTTTATCTCAGCTCTAGTAAACTCTCTATCTTTTCATTCACAATCTCAGGCAAAGCGAAATTAATTGTTGAAGACGTCAGGGCAGGCTGTTCACAAACAGGACACAACCTCCGCAGGTACCACACCCCACATTCAAAAATTTGTTCGCAAATCGGACTGTTCGCAAACGGGACGACACCGGGCGGGTTACCCCACAATAGCCGAGGCAGGTAGGTCTCCTTTTCCTGGTTCAGAGATTTTAGATACCCAGTCCACGACTATACCATCTCTATCTCCATGGTCTCGCCGGCCAGGGAAATTGTCACGTCAGGTGATGAGGATGCACGTTGACATTAATTTGGTAGATCTAGGTGTCACGTGTTGAAGAAGTCGTTGATCTTCCTATCACCCATATAAACTGTCCCTACACTTGTGTAGTCACAACACTAACACTGAACACGAAACACGGAACACGTGCACGCACGTACCGGAGCTATATACGGCGTTACGACCACGTTGACGACTAAACAAGGCTCAGATAATTATCACGGACAAAAACAACTTAACCGACTTTTATATTGATACTAGTCTCTAAAAAATTAAACCAGAATTTACCACGCTAACGTAAAATTAAATGGTTAAATATTAATTTAAATTCAGAGCAATCTGTAGCTGCTGCCTACTCATTGGCTCAGTGTTGCCAACCTCAAATTATTATAACTAGTGGTCGTCCTGTGGTCGAAACTCGACCAAAAATAATTAATGTACAGACTTCTCTATTTTCTCCCCACACTGTAAATAAAACATGTGATTGGGATTTCTTCCATTTGTTTTGGTTTTCTGTTTACATTTTGTTGTTATTTCGTCACCATCATGGCAACCCAGTTGGTCCATGTTAATTTTTTGAAGTTTTCAAATTCGTTTTTTGTGCTTTTTTTTAGCCTATTTTGATTTATAAAGGGATTCTGCACATCTACAGGCAAATATCTTTCCAACAGTATGCGTCGATTTTCCCTGCGATGCACACGAGCTGAGAAAAAAGGTTTTAAAGAAACATGCTTGCCTATTAATATATAGATAGATTATTAATCGGATAACTGTTGCTGGACTCAAAATCGCCTGTGTGCGCCAGGCCTAAGGCGGGATAAACATGAATGAGTTTACGGGAGGTTTTAAGGGTAAAAATTGGTTTTCTCCTTTTGACCTTCAAAACACGAAATTTCCCAATTTCTCTCTAGACAATTTAAAAGAGCTTAAATAAACAAATAATTTAATATGTCAAAGTGTTTTTGTACGGTTATTAGTTACAAAGAAAATTCAAAAATAGTAAATTTTAAATTTATATTTTTTTATGGAGAGATTTTGTAAAACGTTTTAGTTTGCTTGTTTATGGATATATTTTGTTCAAACTTAATTTTAAACTATTAGCATTTGTATTTGTAAAACACTTTTTATTAGCGAATTTCCCATAGGCATATAGGGAATAAGCTATTACCGTAGTACTCATGGTAAGAACTGGACGCGGGACCGATTTTTTTTTTCGTTTTGAGGTCCCTAGAGGCCAAAAACACCATCCGTTCAAATTCATATATATATATATATTTATATATATATGTGTCCGTCAGCACGATAACTCGAGCAAAAATGATCCGATTTTGATGAAATTTGGTACAAACGTGTAAACGTACGTTTATTCGAACGAGTTCGCGATCCAGCATGATCGGACTATGGGAACGGGGGTTTACAAGGGGTTTTATGGGGTAAAAATAGGTTTTTCCCATTTTTGACCCAAAAAACATAAAATTTAGCAATTTCTTTCCAAACCATGTTGTAGAGCTTCAAAAAAAAAATAATAATTTAGTATATTTAAGCGTTATTATGCGCCTAATGGTTACGGAGAAAATTCAAAAAAATTGTAAATTAAAAATTCCCATGTTATTCTTATGGAGAATAAGTAAACTGTCGTAGTTTGCTTGTTTGTGAACATATTTTGATCAAATTTGGAAAATGTTTTTATTTCTTACTAACAATTCACATTTTACAAAAAAAAAAACAGTTTTACCCTCCCTGATGCAGCAAACCTAAGTACTTGTTAAACTAATTCTATTTAAATCAAGAATAAATGTTATATTTTTAAGTAGACATTTCAGTGTAAATCCAATCAGTCAAATGGAAATTCGCTTAGTCTGCAGGTTTGCTGCGGCGGGGGTATTTATTTTTCCTGTAGCAGCAAACCGAAGTACTCATTAAAATTAACACTAGAGGTCATCCAGTGGTAGAAAACTCGACCAAAAATATGTAAATGTAAATAAAACATGTGATTGGAATTTCTTCAATTTGTTTTGATTTTCTGTTTATATTTCGTTGTTATTTTGTCACCATCAATGCAATTCATAAGGCCCATGTTAATTTTTGGAAATTTCAAACTCATTTTTCATGCTTATTTTTTTGCCTATTTTCGATAACAGCTGACATCAATGAAAGTACCGTAGTTGTTTCCTAAGCTCTAATTTAGAGCGACGGAAAATCGATCAGCTGATTTTCCTTCGCTCTAAATTTACTTTCCCTCGCTCTCTATTAGTTCTCCATTTACTCACTACCAGGCCCGTTTTTGACTATGTCAGCGCCCTAGGCACAACAATAGTAGCGCCATTTTGCAATATATATAACAGTGTGACCACCGACCGGGAAATCCGGGAATTATGCGTGAATTTTGTATATCTACCTGAAATTTTTCAATTTACCGATTGCGCATGACAACAGTGACGTTTCCATGACCGCGGGAGACAATAATATGTCCCCATAAGGCCGCGAGGGATGATCAGAACTTTGCCGCGATCGCGTGAGACGATGATAATGTCTAAACGACCGCGAGATATGAACATGATTTTACCGCGATAGCGCAATACAATAATGAGATCTAGAGAGCCGCGAAGGATGATCAGAATAATGCCGCAATCACAGAATATGATGATAATGTCCACATAACCACGGGAAACAGTCAGAATTTTGCTGGAGACGATACAGATCTCCACATGACTGCGGGATTTTATTGACATTTTGCCGTAATCGCGGTAGACAATTACGATGTCTTCACGACCGCGGGAGACGATTATGATGTCTTCCCGACAACGGGAGACGATTATGATGTCTTTGTCTACACGACCATGGGAAACAATTACGATGTCTACAGGATCGCGGGAGTTACAATAATTATGTCTACACAGCTGCGAGGGATGATCAGAATTGTACCGCAATCGCGTAAGACGATGATAATGTCCACTCGACCACAGGAAAGATCAGAATTTTTCTTCATCAGCGGAAAATGATGATGATCTCCAAACGACATGAGATGATTACCATTTGCCACAATGGCGGAAGAGGATTACTATTCCACACGACCGCGGGAGGCAATGATGATGTCTTCACAGCTGTGAGGGGTTATCAGAATCTTACTGTGATCTTGCAAGACAATGATAATGTCCACACGACCCCGAGAAAAGATTAGAATTTTTCCTCATTCGCGGTAGACGGTGATAATCTCCTCTCAACTGCGAGATGTGTTCATATATTGCCGCGATCAAGGAAGACGATAATTATGTCCACACGTCCACCAGAAATAGTCAGAATTTGGCCGTGATCGTGGGAGACGGACGATGATGATGTATACTCAATCACAGGAAATAATTAACATCTGGCCGTAATCGCGGGAGACGGTTACAATTTCTACAAGCCGCGAGGAATTATCAGTTTACCGTGATCGCATGCAAATACTGCCACAATTTTATTTAATTTTCCAATTTTTGGCGCCCCCCTAAAAAAGCCAATTGCCTCGCGCCCTAGGCACGTGCCTACCGTGCCTATTTGGTAAATCGGCCCTGCTCACTAAATTCAAATTCAAATTCAAATTATCTTTATTTATATTATGTACAAAACGTACAATAAATAGTGTCAAAGCTTATAATTACTATGTACAAATACTTAACCTAAACAAAAAATACAGAAAATAAAACTATCTATAGCTGTATACATTCATAAACAGTTCATCTATTGAGTAGATGGGTTTTTCTATCAAAAATTCTTTAAGTTTTTGTCTAAACTTTTTTTTATCCTTAATATCTTTTATTTCATTTGGTATTATCTTTAAAAACTTTACACCGGCATATGAGGGCTTATGTTTATACATTTCTAAGTTGTGTTTCGGTAGAACTATATTATTTTTGTTTCTAGTGTTGTATTGATGGGTTTCACAATGTGTTTTAAATTTTTCCTGGTTATTTTTTACATGCACGATACATTCGAGTACGTACAAACTAAACACAGTTAATATTTTCAAATTGACAAATTGTTGCTTTACAGACTCATTATAATCTAGATTTAACATTATTCTTATTGCCTTTTTCTGTAAAACAAGTATCTTATCTAAATTTTTCTGGGAAGTGCCTCCATACACTACTATTGCATAAGATATATGTGATTGGATATGGGAATGAAAAACTATTTTTAATGTTGCTAGGTCACTTAAATAAAACATTCTTTTCAAGGCATAGATTCCAGAATTTACCTTACGCACAATGCTTTCTACATGATGATCCCACCTAAGACATTCATCAATATGGATGCCTAAAAATTTTGTACAATCAATTTGATTTATTGTGTTGTTGTCAATAAAAATATGAGGGCTACACTTATTTTTGTTCTGCTTAGTGCTGAAAGAAATAAAATTAGTTTTTTTGTGAATTTAGCATTAATCGATTGTTTACAAAAAATTCTTGGATTTGTGATAATTCTATATGAGCTGCTACTTCCAAATCAATCTGACATTTAGCAGATACAATTATCTACAATATTTATGTAATTTTATTTTACAATCTACGCAGATACAAATTACAGAGCCACTGGAGCGGAGCCCGAAAGGATTTTTGAGATAAGAATATGCCTATATGTTAATCGGGAATGTGAGCTATCATCTTGCCAAATTTCAGCCGAATCCGTCCAGTAGTTATTGCGTGATTGAACTTCAAACAAACAAACAAATACACAAACTTTCACATTTATAATATTAGTATGAAGTATGATTAAAATGTTACAAGGCTACCAACAGGGAGCAGAACTATTTTTTTTACATTTATGACAACAGCTAATTTAAACTAAGCACCAACAAAAAACTTTTTTTACAGGATTTTTACTGTTATTTTTATGTTATTAATTTAATAAATAATTTGTGATATTGTATGGGTGTTTGGTGATTTACTTTTTATATTGTTTAGGTGCAGTGGTAGAACATTATGACTATGGTAGTTGTGTTTATATACTATAGCATACCGTAAATTTAAAGAACCAAATTTTCTCAAACCGTGTCCTCCCCCATTGCAAACGCAGAACACAATGTATGCTGCAATAACATTTTATACTTATACGCCAACCCTGTACGAAGGAGGGTTACTCTGCTATAGGACATAAATGTGACATTTTTAAGGGGATATTTTAGTGAAAATCCAAGTCAGGTAAATGGAATTTCGCTTAGTCTGTAGGTTAGCTGTGGCGGGGGTATTTATTTAATCTAAAGTGAGCCTAAAAAAAATTTTAATGCCTCACTCATTACAACATCAATCTAGTAAAATAAACACACAATCATAATAACTGAAGGACTCTATATTATTATGTTAAATTATATTTTTTTAACACAAAATCTAAATATTTGTTCAAATTATTGTTAATAAAATTCCTGTTCCAGCACAAGGACCCAGATTACTCTTGTGCTTATGTTGTAATCTACACTGACAAAGATGTGGAGGGACATGGACTGGCATTCACTCTTGGGAGAGGCACTGAAATAGGTACACTGCTGCTGGTGTAGTAACACTTCGGCCCGGTAACATTTGGGCCAAATTCAAATTTCTTAGAAAACAGTAACACTTCGTGCCACTCGCATTTACAATTGATTAAGTAAGCTAATGACGAAAAATTGAGAAGTGTTGAGGAACGCAGTTACCTAGGTGATAAGTGGCCCATGACCTCAGACCTGTAGACTTTGTAATCACCCTGTGATGAAATGTCGGTCAACCGTTACCCTTTCGGAATCTGTGGAATACACCTCCACCAACCCCTTTGTTTACGAGGGAAGACGTTGCAAATTTTAACGTTATTCCTAAGAGTGAGGTCTAACTCACACCTAACCTAACCTAGCCTAACGCACCCTAACCTTATGTGGTAATTAGTTAATGTTTAGTTGAAAAATATCTTTGTCGAAGCCTTGTGGAACGCAGTTTGTGGTGAGTCAATTTTAAATCAAATGCCTTTTGTTAGTTTTTTACTATCCTCCTAAATAGTTAGTGTAGGCCTGTCAAATATTTTTTGGGACGAAGAGTGAAGTGTAGCAGTACGAAGTGAACAGGTAGAGAGTAGGACTCCAGGATACAACTGAGGATTTCGGGCCGAAGTGTTACAACACGAAACTGCTGGCTTATTTTCTTAGATTAGGAGCTAGAGAATTGCTTAGTTATTAAAACATGGAATAAAAACTAGCAGCCAATGTCACTTCGTGACTTCAAACCCCATAAGAACTACGTACTTCATTCACATACTTGGGAATAACGAATAGAAATTCTAACGAATAGCGCTATTAGTTAGTTTTTTCGGCTAACTTCTATTTTATTCATTAGTTTTTAAAAAGAGCTGGAAATAACTTCTACTCAGTTAGTTTTATAGCCAACGAATAGATAATATATTCGCTAGTTTTAAATCGGTAGTTTTTTTGGTCAGGCGAAAGTATTTCCAATACGGGTTATTTAAGTATTTGCCGTGTTCAGTGAGGGCTGCGTGCGTACGTGAGAGGTCAGCGCCCTTGTGACAAACAACGTGGGGGGTGGGGAAAGAGAAAGTCAAAGTCCAGTCGCTTTGGTATGCAGCGGACTCGGGGGGCGAGCCAATGGCAGCCAATAACAACACCCCAAGCACCGAAGGGTGGGAAGGGGGAATGTTTGTTTGGCGATTGATATGTAATCTCAAGTGTCTAATTCTTCACTTCAGGTTGATGTTCATTATCTGACCGTGACAGGTGTTAATTTTTTGTTAGTTTCTTAGTTGTCTTGTAGTTATATATATTTTAGTGATAGTTAAATATTTTTAATACATAGGCCTAAGTTATTAAGGTGTACGGTTTTAATTAAGTACCGGTACAGTAGATTAATAACATTTGTTTGCAATGGTGGGCGAGCGTGATATCAAGTGACCAAACTTAAGTGACATATTTCAACAAGTTGCAAAAAAAATTAAAAGGGTGGAATCGCATTAAAATGTTTATTGTGTTTACCCAAAACAAAAATAATTAAAGCATCAGTCACAAGTGCTTCGAATTTGAGAGCGCATGTTAATAAGTGGAGAAAAAGTATGATGGTCTCGTTTTTAAGTTGAACAGTTGTAAATTATGTTTGTGTATCGAAAGTAATGTTTTATGTCAGGAAAGGTGAGATGATCACTATTTGTTTTTGTCTTTTTAACTATTGAAAACAGAGTGATGACAAGTTTTTGTATCACCTTTGTCGGGGAAATAAATGTGCACTTCGAGTTTGAGCCTAAATATCTCTGAGATGAATTAACAGATTTTGTTGAAACAAAAATTAAATATAAGCTGGTTTAAATAAATTTTACTTGGTGTCAATTAAAAAATTTTCCATTTACCAGAAACATTTATATAGTTGAAAGATACTAAAAAGTACTGGTTTTTAAGAAACTCTGCACTAACAATGAAGTTTAAAATTTATTTGTAAACAAACCACTGAGCCAATCTTTCTGAAATTTGTATGGCTTATTGGTAGGTTCATTGTTAACATTTCCATGCATTTAAAAAATTTTACTGACAATAGTTTTTATGCTGCTGTTATTTTTTAATACGTATGCTAACATCGTTAATAAGACACTGAAAATTTTGTTCAAATTACCATCATGTTTGCCGTGACACAATAAATAACATTAATATGACAGATTTATAATGCGAACAAAGGTGGTTTTTAAACAGATTTATATTTGTAGACAAACATTTCTCCCATGACTGGCAGCGGGCCGCCTGGTGTTTATACGATATTTCCCAGCCGGGCGGTAGCACTTGCGAATCTGCGACGTTGCTGTGTACCTGGCTACCACACTGACATTGCACGGCAAACTAATGTGTAAATCATTATATTTATTTAGTTAGAAATTTACATAAATTTACTAACAAAATATTCACTAGTCATGAAACAAATACATTATAATAAGATAAATACAAATATAAATCTACAAATTAAAAAACACCTTTGTTCACTGCGAACGCCTTCAGAGCGGCAAGCCTAGTCATTACTAACGGACGAGGAAGAATCGGCGACACCAATTTTGAATAATAACTTCTTTTAAAGTTTAATAGGCATTTCAAGTAAATTTTGTCATAGTAATGAATGTATAGTGTAATGTAAATGTGACGATGTCTAATTAATATTTAATTAAAACACAATTAGTAACCAAGATGTGTCATTATTTCATTACGTATGAAATCCTTTAAAACAACTGTCCAACAAACAGCTATCTTCTACAAATGTTGAAAACTAACTTTATTTTCTATCAGTTAGTTTTTCAACTAACTAATAACTTCTATCAGTTACTTTTTAAACTAACTAACTAGTAACTTCTATCATTTACTTTTTATGGGACTAACTTCTAACTTCTAACTAGTTAGAAATTTTGACTAACTTTCCCAACTATGTATTCATTAGTCCCAGTTAAAAAAGAGGGGGATTTAGTGAATTGTCCATGGCTAAAGGGCAGTTGATAAGGGTGAAAACGATTATTTCTCATCATATCCCTATTATTTGCATTGAACAAAGATTACTTAATAGGTACAAAGATTTTTTAAACTGAATTATATATAGAACTAGCTGGCCCGACAGACGTCGTCCTGTCCTAATGTGGTTTTATGTCAAATGCTCGTTCATTTTCAAGATGAGCTCCTTCGCATGGCTCATAATCACGTCCTGGTTGAAGTTCGTTCGCTACGCTCACTCACCTTTGCGTTGGAGCTTGTTCGCTGTGCTCACTTGCCTTCAGGTTAGCTCGTTCGCTACACTAATTCCCCTCCAGGTTGAGGTTTGTTCGCTACGCTCACTCACCTTTTGGTTGCAAATTAGCTGTTGTCATAAATTTAAACAAATAATAGTGCTGCACCCTGTCGGTAAACCTACTTTTTAATGCTATTGAACATCACAGAATCAAATTGATAGTTGAATCAGCTGTTATCATTCTTTAATTCCATTTCAATATGAGTACTCATAAGGTTAACATGGGAAACTCCAGAGCCACTGGGGCGGAGCCCTTTTGACGGATCTGCACCAAACTTCACACAAACCATCCTTGAATAATGCTTAGTAATGCCTAAAAGTTTCATTACAATCTGTCGAGCGGTTTCGGAGTCCATAAAGGACAAACAAACAAACAAACATACAAACAAACAAACAAACATAAATTGGATTTTATATATATAGATAGATAACATTAATTCCAAGGGACGAGTTGCATGCACGAGTTCTTACAGTGTTGAATGCTAGTCTCACTTGTTTGGATTGAAAACATATTTCACAATTGGAGCTGAGAGCTTTAACATCTTTGCTTATCTTCATTCCTTCAGATAGACTTATCAGTTTAGACAGATTTGCCTGTCCAAGGTGAACTAATCTTCAGTGCCACATTAGTACATAATTTTCCTTCTCTGTTGCCAATGTGCTAGATTCTATTTCACTTTGAGTCAAGTTAACAATAAATACTCCACTTTCGGTTTTAAACCATTCAAGGATTTTTTTCACCAGATTTTGCTACCTACTTTGACCTTATTGTCCGAAAACAAAACTTCACCGCCAGCTTTAGTAATGGCATTCACGGATAAAAGATTTTTACTCAAGTTAGGAACGTGCAAAACATTATTTAATTTACACTTTGGGGTTCAAACATTTCAATTTTATTTGCTTCTATTGTTTCAGAATGTTTAGCAACTTGAATATCTATTGAGACTTCTTTACACTGTTTTAGTATTCCTTCCTTAATATTCCTTTAGATGAGATGTTGATCCCGAGTCTACTATACACTTTACTAATGCCCATGCGAGAATAATTTTCTATAATTTTATGCATGAAATTCCTTAAGAAAGATATATTGTTACTTTTCGTTCTTCTAAAGTAGCAGTCTTTGTGAGAAGGTTGTTTTAACGAATTTCCCATATAGGGAATAAGCTATTACCGTAGGTCTCATAAGACCTAGACCCAGGACCGATTTACTTTTTCGTTTTGAGGTCCCCAGAGGCCAAAAACACCATCCGTTCAAATTCATATATATATATATATATATGTCCGTAGCGATAACTCAAGCAAAAATGATCCGATTTTGATGAAATTTGGTACAAATGTGTAAACCTACGTTAATTCGAACGAGTTCGTGAACCAGCATAATCGGACGATGGGAACAGGGCTTTATGGGGTAAAAATGGGTTTTTCTCATTTTTGACCCTAAAAACAAAAAAATTGCAATTTCTTTCTGAACCATTTTGTAGAGCTTAAAAAAATAAATAATTTAGTATATTGAAGCGCTGATGTATGCCAAACGGTCTCGGAGAAAATAAAAAAAAGTGTAATATAAAATTCCCATGTTATGGACGAAATGAAAACTGTTGTAGTTAACTTGTTTATGGATAATGTAGATAAAATTTGGCAAATTTATTTATTTTATCCTATACTATTGACGTATGGTCAAAAAACACTTTTTACCTTCCCCCGTAGCAGCAAACCTAAGCACTCGTTAATTCTAATGTTATTAAAAT